TTATGGAGGACTATGACTTAGAGTTGCACTATCATCTGAGGAAGGCCAATGTAGTGGCTGATGCCTTGAGTAGAAAGTCCTTTAGTAGTGTGGCAAATATTGCCATTCGGGAATGGGAGATGTTGGGTACTGTTGGCGAGTTTGACTTGCACCTTGGCGAGTCCGTTGAGTCGGTAGGTTTGTTTTTGGTAGTGCCACAACCTACACTGGTGAGTAGAGTTATAGAAGCACAAAGAGGTAACCACGAGGCAGAAACCCTCCGAGAGAAAATGTCCAGTGGGAAGATAGAGAATGGCTTGAACGAGTATCCTGACTCAAGTGTTAGATATCTTGACCGTTTATTCATGCTGGAGTCTTTCCAAGAGGAGGTACTCTGAGAGTTTCACCATTTATGCCTTGCGGTACATTGGGGAGACACAGAAATGTATCATGACCTTAGTCACCAGTTTTGGTAGAAGGAGATGAAGAAGGATGTAGCTGTGCTTGTGTCGAGAGGTCGAGCATCAGAGGCTAGCGAGTTTGTTGCAACTCTTGCTTTCCAAACAAATGTGAAGATGAATTCTTTTATATTAATGCAGAGGTTTAAATGACCAAGTAAAGAAATGTTTTTGGAACGAAACTGGATAATTGAAAAGAAAACAAATGGCTTTTACACCTTGTAATGTTCAAATGAATGTTTTTGGATAAAATGAACTTATATAAGTGTATTAAACTGTCAAATTATTTATATTGTACGTCATAGTGCATTCATGATCATAGATATTTGTATATTGTTATTGTTTAGGATCATGTTGGGATCTTTACTCGACTTTATGTTCATCCCACATTATTAATCATTTTTTAGGTGCAAGTTGAGAAATGATTTCGGTAATCTTCCTTAATTTTTGGCCACAGGGCTTATATTTGTTGGCAGAACCCCATTGTTGTAAAAAGTGTTAAACCCTTACTTTTAATATAAAGATGCAAGCCTATAGACATTTTGTTTAAATGTAATTTCTGTTGCATTCCATATATGTACGATTGAGAGGAATTTTATTTGTTTATGGGATTAATGTATGTATAGTTCTGCATATTCTTAATAGAAATGGATTTGTATTAATGGATATGATAATATTATTTGGATAATAAAAAGTAGGGCGTGATGCAAAACTTAGCAATGCAAGTCCACTATTGGATATATGATGATCCTACAAGATTTGTTTTGCAATGCATTTAAGTTATTTAAATTTATATTCTTATCTCCCTTACTCATATTGGTGTATATATCATCTATGCATGGTTAATATTTCTTAGAAAGCCTCTCTAATTGGCGGATTTATAAGACAGTTGTGGGTGATAAATTTTAATTTTTATATTATTTTTTTACATTTTATTATTTCTATGTGCAACGCATTCATTTTATGTAATATTTCTTTGGTTTTAATTTAGGATGTAATTTTTAACTATTGATGTGCTCTGTTCTAAGTATAGTTTGAGAAAATTTTGCAAGGGCAGTTGAGTTAACTATTAGGAAAAGTTATAATTTAATATGATTCTCTCTCTTTTCCTTTTATAAGATTTTAAAATTCTGATATGCATTCTAAGAATTTATTAAATATAATTGATTTATTGCACCTGGGTATAATTCAAATATTTTAATTTGTTAATGGTTAGTTTAATTTCATATTGTAGTTTGTTAATAGTTTATCAATTCATTATTAGTGTGAAATACAACTTTATTTTTTGTAGTGATGTGTTTCAATGATTTCAAATATTTCTCAACACGCATATCACGGATTTTTCACTAATAGTTAAATAAATAAGAAATGTTCGTCTATGGTGTCAACCTTACTACTCTTTATCTATGTTTAATTCAGGAATAAGATAAGATGGTTATCCTAAGATAGATAATTTGGAAAGGCCATAGCTTCCCTTCGGTCCAAGTCAGATTGGAGAGTGTTATTGGGCTTCCGTGGGCTCACTACGGAACTCGTATCGATAATCCAAACCGTTCAATGTGTAAGTCTCGTTGAGTATTTCATCCCTGTAAAAAATTACTTTGATCGGATATCGATAGCCACTTAATCATTTTCAAAATAAATTATTTATACAAATGTGATTTGATCAATTGACTAGCGATATCTGATCAAAGTAATGTTTTACAGGGATGAAGTATTTGACAAGTTCTACATATTGAACGGTTCAGATCCTCGATGAGGATTTTGCGATGGGTCCACGGAGGCCAAACAGCGCCCTCTAGATCCCAACTGGAGAGGAAATAAAACATTATTTTTATACTTGGAAAGGCCCATATTTACGTCGTCTTTTGTCACAAAATCTGAACTAAAATGCATAACATTTTTATTCCCAATTTATGTAGCCCTATCTCACTCCTTATTCGCAAATAAAACATTATTTTTATACTTGAAAGCATACAAATGAACCGGGACAGCGTTTGATTGGATAGATTACAATATAAAATAATATAGAATTCATTACTGGGTAAAATACAAAATGAGTTTTTAAGATTTGTTTAAAATAGTTGTCCCTTTTGATTTTAAAAATTACAACCCATTATTTTAAATTTTTAATTGCATAACAACAGACTCATTTCATTAATTAATTATAAAGTGAATTAGCAGTTTTTAATGATGTCATAAATATATTTTAATTATTAATTTTGATAATTTTATTATTGTATAGAAAGATAGTTACGAATTTAATTTTGTGTTAATTTTGTTAAAAGACAAATGGTGACAATAGAATAATTGTAATTTTAGATTCACATGAAGCGATTCGTATTTTAAGTAAAAATCAAGGAATGTATTTATAATTTATCCATGGTTAATTTATAAGACTCACATTCCAATGTTTTATTACAAATTTTTGTTATCCGAATTAGATTTTATCAAATAAAATTGATGAATTTTTAATCCTACTACTAATAATGCAAAATAAATATATACATGGGATTATATATTTCAATATCCATTGCAAAATAAATGTGTACAAAAAGTGATACTTTTTCTCATTAGTCCAATTGGATAATCAATTCTACAGTAATTTCATGAATTGTTAATTATTTCACTATTAATCCTGCTAATTAAACATGGCCTAGGAACCATCTTTTAATAATAACAATTAAGTCCTCAAGATTCGACTAATATTTCCGTGTGATCCTCTCGTCACTTACCAAATTTTTAGGTGAAAAATACTTACATGAACACATTTTATGGGTATTAATTACAGAAAAGATTTGTATAACAAATTACAATTTTCTCTCTCAAACTTCCATCAAAATTTTACTTTGGTTCATTATTTTCAACTTTGATTAAAATTTCAAACAGAAGAGTGATGGAAGGATCACATTGAAACACTGATTAAAATTTGACAACTTAGTTGCAATTAGAAAATGAGAAACTAAAGTGAAATTTGAGTAAAAGTTCATGGGTGAAAGTATAATTTATCCCTAATTTTTTTTTTTTTAAAATAATCAATGATCATAGTGTTAAAACTTGCAAAACCTACTTAATCTCAATTTTTAACAGAATAAACCTTTTACGAACATAACAAATTACATAGTTACAAACAGAAAGATAAGTTTCATGTGGAACAATAAGGTCGTTTTATGCCTAGTCCAATTGAATATGACAGAAGAAAATGAGGGCTTGTTTGCAGGACAATGAGGTGGATTAATTACTTCACATTGTTTTGGTTGTAAATTTTATTATTCAGTTTATATTTTAGTGATCATTCTATCTAATAAAATAGACATATTTTTTAATACTATAACTAATAACACAAAGCATACATATAATTAAAATTATATGTTTCTATATATATTGCAAAACAAACGTGTACGAGAAAGAATTATGTATCTCACTAATTTAACTAGACAGCAAATTCTACACTAATTTTATAAATTGTTAATCTTCTCACTATTAATCATACTAATCGAATAAGTCCAGATATTATTAGTGAGTTTAGTACTAGATTTGGACAAATTATATAGGTAATATTTGACAAAATTACATTTGTCGAGATGATTAATTATTAATGAGTCTGATTTTGCTTACATACTTTCAAAGTCTGTAAACAATATATAGATTGTGATTGGTTCTGAACAGTGAGTACGATATCTAAAAATCTACTGACCCCAACCAAAATTATGGGTTATACTATTTTAAACTAATCACAATTTGTGTATTATTCACACAATTTAAATAGTCAACAAATTCATTTTCATTATTAATGAAGACAGAACCATTAATTAAAGGAGGTTCATTTACTTGTTTGTAGTTAAGCATGGCTGCCACTTGTCTCTCCGCTATCTTCACTCTTCAGCTGCATATATGCACGCACTAGCATACAATAATTCAAGACAGTAATAAGAGCCAAAACAATAAGGTCAAATAAGGTTCATATTTGTACCATTACAAAAATGGAAAACACTATGCAATTACAATTTTTATACAAAATTTTATAGTCCTGTTGAAACTAATAGAAGTAGAATACCCTCACATCCATGTTTAATAGAAGGCCAGCACCTAGCCAAGCTACTAGTCAAAGAGCTTACCAGGGGAGAATCAACCACCTGATTAATAGTTACTTTATTTGAAGATAATTATTAAGCAATTAATATAAACAAATGATACATTGCCATGTATCTAGGCTGATGATATAAAAATGTGAAAAAAGGAACAAGTAATATACAGTGATCCTTATTTTAAAAAGTTACTAGTAATTCACACAATCTTTAAGAAAATGCTAATATGTACCCACCTTTTTGTCATAACAAAATTATGATTTCTACAGTAAAAGTCACATAATTTGTGGTGAGTGTCTTATGTTATTTTGTCTAAAAATTATGAATCAACAAATTCATTTTGTCATTTTATCAATGAAGACTGACTAGTCAAAGTCAGTTTACTTGTTTGTAGGCTTTGCATTGCACCTACATTTGCCTATAAATCATTTGGCCTCTCCCCTGTTAATAGTCAGCAAGCATTACACCCTTTGTTTTTGAATCTAGGAGCAAAGATGGTCTCCAACAATCAACTCTTTCACCTCTTTTTGTTTCTTTGTTTTTTCCAGATTATTTGTTTGCATGCCCAACTCTGCACTCAACAACAGACCTCTGCATTGCTCCAATTTAAGCAACAATTTTCCTTCCATAAATCTGCTTCCAATGTCTGTGATTATGTCTGTGATTATGTCTCTGATTACTTCTGTGAGTTTGTCGGAATCCGTTCTCACCCGAAGATGAAGTCGTGGAAGGAGGGTTCTGATTGTTGCTCATGGGATGGGGTCGAGTGTGACAACAACACAAGTCAAGTAATTGGCCTCGACCTCAGTTGCAGCTGGCTCAACGGCACCATCCACCCCAATAGCAGCATCTTCTACTACTTTCCTCACCTCCAAAGCCTCAACCTTGCTTTCAATTACTTCGGTATGTCTCCAATCTCATCTGAATTTAGTCGATTCACCAGACTGACACACCTCAACATCTCTGGCTCTGGTTTTTCTGGCAAAGTCCCTATAGAAGTCTCCTTTCTGAGCAAATTGGTCTCGCTTGATCTCTCTTCCAATGATGGTTTGAGGTTGGAAGAACCTGGATTTGAATTACTTGTTCAAAACTTAACCAAGGTAAGAGAACTTAATCTTGCGAATGTAGACATATCTTCAGTGGTTTCCAATTCCTTGCTCAATCTGACTTCTTTAACACTTCTCGATCTTAGTTTGTGTGGATTGCTTGGAAAATTTCCTGACGGAATATTCCATTTACCACATCTGAATAACCTGCGTATATTCTATAATCTTGCTCTCACTGGTTATTTTCCCGAGTTTATAAACTCGAACAGTCCTCTCCAGTACTTGGACCTTTCATCCACCAATTTCTCTGGAGAACTACCGGACTCAATTGGGAATTTGACTTCTTTAACACATCTCGATCTTAGTTGGTGTGGATTTCTTGGAAAATTTCCTGACGGAATATTCCATTTGCCACATCTGAATGAGCTGCTTATAAGGGAGAATCTTGCTCTCACTGGTTATTTTCCCGAGTTTATAAACTCGAGCAGTCCTCTCCAGTACTTGGACCTTTCATTCACCAGTTTCTCTGGAGAACTACCGGACTCAATTGGGAATTTGAAGTCCTTGAAATTGTTGTTTGCCTCTTATTGTAAATTTTATGGATCCATCCCTGCGTCGCTCAGAAACCTTACGGCAATGACTGATTTAGACATCGGATATAACAATTTCACTGGCATGCTCCCGTCTTCACTTTCAAACCTTGGAAATCTCGTCTACTTGCGAGTTTCAGGTAATAATTTTGAAGGTACAATTTCGGATTTTTTACCCAGCAGTAAAAGTCTTCTTTCTTTACATGTTGGTTCAAATAACTTCAGCGGTCCATTCCCATCATTGGTTTCAAACCTAACATCACTGGTTAATTTAGATTTGTCGCATAATCAGCTAAGAGGACCTCTTCCATCACAAATAATTGGATTTCCAAATCTAACGTTGTTAAGTTTAGATGATAACTTAATCAATGGTACAATTCCATCTTGGGTCTTCCGCTTACCAGCATTGAAGCAATTAAGCATCCATAATAACAAATTGACTGGGCATGTAAAAGAGTTCAAATCCACTTATTTAGCTGATGTTGATTTGAGCAATAACAACCTACATGGTAGGTTTCCAAGTTCAACCTTCAAACTTGTGCACCTTAGTAGTCTTATTCTTTCATCAAATAACTTCAGTGGTAAGCTAGACATGCTCTGTCATGCAATTTCCCTTCAAATTCTTGTCCTGTCTAATAATAGCTTCAATGGTGCTATTCCACAATGTTTAGGAAATTTCAGCATAGGTTTCTCTGTGCTCGACTTGGGGAAGAATAATTTTTCTGGCACCATCCCTAATACATTTGTAAAGGGAAACTACTTTGATACTATCAACCTTAATGGAAATGGATTTGAGGGGGCAGTACCAAAATCTTTAGTCAATTGCAAAAGTCTACTGGTGCTAGATCTTGGACGTAACAAGTTCTCTGACAAATTTCCATATTGGTTGGAAAAACTACAATGGTTGCAAGTTCTAATACTGAGATCTAACAAATTCCATGGACCCATGCCAACTTCCAAAGCCAAATTTCCCTTCCTTAATTTGCGAGTTATGGATTTGTCAGACAATTATTTTACTGGTCCATTGCCAGAAAAATATTTCAAGAATCTTAATGCTATAATGAATGTCGACGAAGCCAATTTTAAATTGCAATACTTAAGCGGTCCTGGCACATATTACTATCGTTTGACTATAGTAATCAAAGGATCAACCATAGAAATGGAAAAAGTCCTAACCATTTTCACTGCAATTGATTTATCGAAAAACAAATTCGAAGGTCAGATTCCACAGATCATTGGAAAGTTAAATTCAATCCGAGGGCTCAACTTGTCACACAATAGGCTTACAGGTTATATACCAACATCTCTTGCTAATTTGACAACGCTCGAATGGTTAGACCTCTCTTCCAACAAACTCAATGGGGAGATACCTCAACAACTAAGGAATTTGAAATCCCTTGAAGTCTTAAACCTTTCGCAGAATCAACTAATAGGACCAATACCACAAGGCAACCAATTTGATACATTTTTAAATGGTTCCTACACTGACAACTTGGCATTATGTGGACCTCCATTGTCAAATGCATGCAATCCAAGTACACCACAATCACCACCCTTGATGTTTCAACAAGAAGACAATACTTCAAGTGGATTCAACTGGGAAGTCATATTATCGGGTTATATATGTGGGCTGGTGTGGGGACTTGTTATGGGATATCTTATGTTCTCTAGAGGAAAACCTCAATGGCTTGTGAGGATCATTGAAGGTGAACGAAACGAAAGAAGAAAGAGATTTAAAAAGCATGCTCACAGGAACGGAGGAAGGTGAAATTAGCCAATGCAAGTGGTGTCTTTTGGTAAGTATTACAATGAATTTCTGCAATCTTTTGCTTGGTCATGAAAAACTATGGCTTGGTTATGGTTTTTATCTAGTCTATTTTTAGTTTCTTAGCAGTTTATTTGTATCATACATAAAAAAAGCTAGTTTATTTCCTTTGTTGTTTATACAAAGCACTTGATTGGAAATCATTATGTGAAAAATTAAAAAATAAAATCATGGACGCAATAAATGAGTAGTGAAAATAAAGGTTTGTTATTGACTGTAGTAGCTGCAATTGAAAAAGGTCCAAGACTTGGACACTTTTTTAATATATATATATATATATATATAAATTTACTTTTATACTCTAAACTATAGTCACTTTTTCTACTTCATTTTTAAATTATTAATTGCATCTATTTAGTCTTTATTATTCATTATTTCAGTTCATTTAGTCTGATTGGAGACAATTTGTCCAAATCATTAATGCTAAAAATCTAATCTAATGGTTAAAAAAATAATTTTACAATTTGGACAACCAAACACCCATATTTCTCTCTACTTCAAATAATGAATAAGAAAATGAGTGCTTGGTTCGGTAAATTTACACCAACCTCTCCTAATTATAGTGGGTTAACACTTAGCTTATTTTTATCAGTAACATTAGTTATATGGATGAAAAAATAATATGTTTATCTTGTTTGGTTTAATTCACTTTTCAAAAAGTTGAATATTTTTTTTATTTTCCTTTTTAGTGAATTTTTTTAATATTTTACGCAAATTTTTTATTTCTTAAATACATCTAATTTAGATACACTTAAAAAGTATAACATTTGTGAAATAAAAAATAAAAAATTCACCAATTACAAAAAAAAATTCAAATAGATATATATATATATATTAAAATTCAATACATTTTCATATTTTGTTATATTCAATGAATTTTTTTTTTAAAATTTTCAAATTTTGTTATACAATAAACTATAGTCACGTTTTTTTACTTCATTCCTAAATTATTAGTTGCATCCATTTATTGTTTCTTATTTCAGTTCATATGGTTTAATTAGAGACAATATCCACAAGTTAGCAATAGTGAAATTTTAATCTAATGGGTCAAAATAATGATTTAAGAATTCAGAAAATTTAAATTGTAGAACTAAACCCTATCTTTTCTTATTCACACTCACCCTTTACAACTAAACACCTATATTCCTCTTTACCCCTCATCTCAAATAATGAATAAAACAAATATGTTTTTGGTTGTACAATTTAGAGTAAATTACACAGGTCTCTCTTAAAATTTGAAGAAAACAAGCCCTCTTTTATGTACTGATAATCGGTTCGTAAGATACATTATAGGTCTTATTTTGATAATCTGAATCGTACAATTTGTAAAGTTTTTTTGTGTAGATCGTTTAGGATAAAATTTAGATTAATGCCATATTTATATCCATATATATTTTTTCATATTAGTCTTTGAAAAAATGAATGGACAATTTCAAAATTATACTTGTGATTCTTTTTTTTAAACAAATATAATGAAATCATATAGTTATGAATATAATGAATCTAATTATCAAAATAGGATATGCGGTGACTCTATAAACCCCAACAACACCCCTCTAGTAAAACTGTGGACGGGGGAGAATCATTCCCCATTAAAATTGAGAAACACCGAAAATGTTTTCATTGTTTTCATTTTTTCCCCATTGTTTTCATACATTAATTTAAGCTATCTAATAAGCATATATATGGCTTTCAAAATATATTTGGGTGACATGTATGTCAAATCCAATATGCTCAGGGAATTCAGTAATTGTAGCAATTTTTGATTTGTGTCATGTAGTTGTGGTGCATTTCAATTTGATCTAAGCGGTGTAGCTTTTGGAGCCATGGCGAATTTTGGTCAAGCTGATGCATTACACAATCCTAGGAAGTTGCAGATACAATGTCAAAGGTTAGAATATATATATATATATATATGTTAATGGGTGTGTGTTTACTTGATGAGTGTATTGTTAAATGTGTAAAATATAAATTTTAATTTTGATTTAAAAATAAATATGTTGTGTGATATTTAAGTAGTGAAGATATTGTTTCTCATACTGAAGATCTTGGATTGGAATCTTTTGCTTGGTTCATATTTTTCTTGTGTTTGGAATAATAGAAAACGAAAGTCAATGAATCTTTTTATTTTTTTTATTATCAACAAAAAACAAGCTTATTTAGATATGAAATATTTTTTACTTTTAAAAGGCAGAATACATTTTCCAAACAGTCTTAGTAATGTCACTGTACTACCACCACCACTCTTACCTCCAGCACCACAACATCATCACCATAGCCACCACCACCGTCATCGTCGCTATCACCGTCACCGCCGCCCCACTACCATGCTACCACCTCTACCTCTACCTCTACCTCTACCTTCATTCTACCACCACTACTACCATCACCAAACATAGAAAAATATTTTCTAACCAAAAAAATAAAGCGTAAATTTACAATTGCCAATATTTGGCCATGCATGCACCTTCTCTATGTATCTCACATGTTAATAAGGCCAAAAATGACATTTTAATTTGGCAATCAGTTAAAACAAAAAATGACATTTTCATTTGACAATTTGAGATCCATTTCATTCACTATAGTTGAGTGTTGGTTGCTATTTGTATATACATTTGACTTTTAGAGTGTCGCTAGTCATTTACTCAATAGTTATTGGCAGCCAGCATATGTTGTTTCTCAAAATCTGATGGGTGGAAATTGGTGATAGTGTGCTTTGGGAGACGACACTTTGTATTGTTGTTTGTATAGTGTTGCAGATTGTCAATTCAATTTCGGTGGATTCATTTGGTGAATAGTTGTAATGATTGGATATTTTTTTTTATATTTACAAAATCATTATATAATTTAATTGAATGGTTATTGCACCACGTGATTAGTATTTTTTTTTTATATATTAAAAGATCATTTGTAAATGGGTTTATGATAACTGAAGCACAGTTTTTAATTTGTTACACAAGTTTAGGGTGAAATTTGTCTCTCGAGTTGAAGATCTTACTTTTGTAAAATTTTAAAAATAGTTGTATAGCTCAAACATTATGAAAATTTTATGATGTGTTTATATATGAGTATTTATTTTTTGAAAATTCACGAATTAAACAGTGTTTAGTTTAATTTATAATAGAATTTTTGTGTTGAGATTTGATGTTAAAATCATGACTTGAGGTAAAACTTATTGGGTTTAATTTTGTATATATTTGGGGCATGTTTGGTTTATGGGTGGAAATTTAATTCAAGAGCCATAATTTAGAATCAATCTAATTTGGGTTCATATAACACATGTTAAACTGTTTGGTTCTTTTTAATTATGTGAATGGAAGGTACCACATCAAGAGTTGTTATTATTTATTATACTGTATTATAATAAATGTTTAAAATGTAAATTTATGGTGTGTTTTATTAAATAAAAAAATATATTTTGTGATAAGAAAAAATATATTATTTTATATTACAAAATATTAAAGTGTTATTAAAATAGTTTTAATTGATGTATATATATATATATATATAAATAGATCAATATGTGAATATTAAAAAATAAAGAATAAATAAACAGAGTGGCAACCCACGTGGGCGGCCTCCGCCCCCCTTTCCTTTATATTTTCTTTTCTCTTTCTTCTTAATTTTCTTTTTTGGTAAATTACACTCACTTCCCTTCAAATTTTTGATAATTACAAGAATTCCTCTTATAGTCTTAATAATTATAAAAATTATCTTTATTTTTTAAACTATTATTAAGATTCCCCTGCCGTTAATCTTCTATTAATTTATTTAACAGAATTCTAATGACGTCATGCTAGTGCCATGTACTATGAGTAAAAAATTTCAAAATTGGTTTTATATATTCAAATAGTAAATTTTACTCACATCCCTTGAGGTTTTACAAAAAATTAATAAAGACTCATATATTATTTTAATAATGTTAAACAAAATTATTAAATTTTATAGAATATTTAAAAAAAATTCTAAATTGTTAAGACAAACATATATATAGTAGAATAACCAAAGTATAAAAGAGCTAATAAATTGATCACAATTAAACCTTATACTAGATTAAATCATTTATTTGAAAATTACGAAACAAAGTAAAAAAGATGTTTTGTTTTTTAAAAAAACCACCAATTTTATAATAATTATTTTGAGAAATTAGAGTTTGAATAAAAATTAAAAAGTACATATAGGTATTTGATTTTTTTTTTGGGTATGAAAAATATATATTTGGAGAAATTATCCCTCTCTTTTCATTTTCTTTATTTTATTTCTTTCATTTTTCTTTGTATTTATTTTCTCATTCATTTTTTCATGTCACTGCAGCAAATAGCAACATCATATTAATATTATTATTATTATTATTATTATTATTATTATTTTCTCTATTCTCTATTCTTCTCTATTCTTTTTCCTCAAATAGCAACACCCAATATCATCGCAACTTATGAAATATAAATTTTTCTTTTGCTTTGTAAACATATTTGTGTATTAATTTTTTTTAAAGAAAAATAAACATAATAAGATTTTATATTTATAATAAAAAAAATTGACTTATAAAAATTACCAAATGTTACCTCATAAATATATATTAAAAAAATTATCATTTTATCTTTTCACAATCCTATATAATTTCCATATTGGTTGGAAAAACTACAATGGTTGCAAGTTCTAATACTGAGATCTAACAAATTCCATGGACCCATGCCAACTTCCAAAGCCAAATTTCCCTTCCTTAATTTGCGAGTTATGGATTTGTCAGACAATTATTTTACTGGTCCATTGCCGGAAAAATATTTCAAGAATTTCAATGCTATGATGAATGTCGACGAAGCTAGTTTTTATTTGCAATATTTAAGCATTGGCATATATTACAATCGTTTGACTATAGTAATCAAAGGATCAACCATAGAAATGGAAAAAGTCCTAACCATTTTCACTGCAATTGATTTATCGAAAAACAAATTCGAAGGTCAGCTTCCACAGATCATTGGAAAGTTAAATTCAATCCGAGGGCTCAACATACTGGATATATATATATATACAAAGTCAAGGAAATACAAAATAATAATAATAATAATAATAATAATAATAATAATAATAATAATTGTGAGAGATAAAATGATAATTTAATATATAGGTAAATTGCAATTAAAAAGTATTAAGTGTAAAGGGTATTATAGTCATTTGCACAACCAAGTTAACGCCGTTTGGCTTAAATTAACGGGAGGGGGAATCTTGATAATGTCAGAAAAAGTAAGGGTAGTTTCTGTAATTATTGAAACTACAGAAGAGGTGCTTGTAATTGTCAGAAACTGTAACACTCTGAATAAATAACACAATAAGTACTCATTAACTTCCAATTACATTAACTTGATTCCAAATCAACCCATCCAATGTTATATATGTATATATATATATATATAAGGAATAAAGTCTCAACATTTACATTGTCATCAAATCTCCAACATGGATATTCATTAAACTCTAGAGATTTACAAAAGAATGTTCCACATGCAGTTATACATTCAACATTCCTAGAATATGAACCTATAGCATGTGGCACAATACATCAAGTACAATTTAATGCCCTCAAGGGCTACAATTTTCCAAGGCTTAAGCCCGGTTATATAAAAGTAGGTTTCAAACCTATACATATAAAGCTCTTGCCTTCTCAAAAATAATTACAACAAAAGAAGAGTCTTGTGCCATCAAAATATATTCCATGCCTCTAACTTGGCAGGCAAACCACATCCTTCACAAAATCCCATAGGGTGAGCATAAAGTCCAGTAGGAAAATCTTAACAAAGTATATACATTTTATACAATCTCCTGAGATGAATGTATATGCCATGCCATATTCAAAAACATATACATATATATATATATATCTTTTGAAAACTTTGTGCACAATGCAATTAGAGAATTTAACAATTCAATGATTTCAATGTAGTTCAAAAGGGGCAGTAAATACGATTCAGATAATCCCTAAGTTGTCGTCTGTGTCACGCCCCAAAATAATTCACATAATGTAACCATATTAATTTAACATTCACCAAATAATAAAGACAGCAATTCTTCCATCTTTACATTTTGAAATGAACATGCTTATACAAAAAGTTCACATGCGGGTATACATTCAATGGTACTAAAAACACATGAATCTATAGCATGTGAAGCATCTAGTCTCAAGTAATTAAAATGCCCTTAAGGGCTTACATCTTCCGAGGCATAAGCCCGGCTACACAAAATGGTCTCTCGGACCCATACAGGTTAGCCCTTGGCTTTACAAAAATTTACAACCAAAATAAAAGAGTAATCTACTCTTCACAATGCATATCCACGCCCTCAACTTGGTGGGATCACTACATCTTTACCTGCACCAAAGTCCCATAGAGGTGAGCATAATGCCCAGTAGAGAATTCTAACAAAATATATACAGTTATGCAAAACTCTTCAACATTATATGCAAAGGTGATGCCATGCAATGTCATATTAAAAAAAAACTTATTTCAATGCACAACTTAAAAATCACCATGTTTTCAATAATATTTTCGCAATCTCATCAATTTCAAAGCTTCCAATTCTTTTCAATTAATAGGGGTGGTAAATACGACACTGGTAATCCCTAGGCTAGTGTCTGCACGTAGACTCTACAAGTACTACCAAATTGTCATTTTTACCGGTATTAACCGGAAGGCTCGACACCTATCCGCGTGGGTTTCTGGTCTTTCACCTTGGATACTCAGGCCAACTTATCAAATTCATCAACACCTCATAACCGGACTTACCGACGTATTTACCCCATAACACATTTCCATAGTTCTCATTACAATACCTTTTTCTTTCATGAAATAGATATTTTCAATCTAAATTCACAATGCATAATAAAAACAATTGAATGAATATGCAATACAATGATTTCC